GGGGGGGGGGGGGGGGGGGGGGGGGGAGCGGAGATCTATTGCTGAGTTAGAGACCTTTCAGGGGAGCTTTTCTCCAGAAGCCGTCTCGGACCTCCACGTGGTCGTACCAACACAAGTGACTCCTGAAGAGGTCCATGGAGGTGAAGTTCAGAACGATCTGTGGGAAACACAGTCCAACAGGTAAGAAGAGGGACAGACGGAGGATGGGTGTTTAAGCAACTGTTTTTAAACTGACATCTTAATTATTTACAGTCCCCAGTGGTGTTTGCATGTATATTTCTGCTGTGTTATACAGTTCGGTCAGACAAGTCATGTCTGAAATCCTTGTTACAGTTGAGTGTTGTTTGAAGTCTCGAACATTACGAACTGTGTCTTTTCTGTTTCACCTTCTCTCCAGGAGTGACAGAAATCCTCCAGACGCAGTGAGCGTATGCCGAGTAGCCGCTGGGGAAACCAGGCGAGGAGAAGTTTCCAGCACTGTCCTGCAGGCTCTCACCGCACTCTGTCACAGCAGAGATAAAAATCAGAAATATTAAATATATATATTCAAATCGTAGAATGATCAGCAGAGGTCAAATTTGACCTTGAGAAGATTTTGATCTTTTACATGAAACAAAATATAACTGGCTTTGAAAATGATGAGGCCTAAAAATAAATCAAGGTCCATGATCTCTGATGGAATAGAGTAGAATGTCTAAATTGTCATTGTATTGTACAAAATACATAAAAGTAATGAATAAATAAAGTAAAACAGAACACAATATTTCACAATATAAACATTAAGGATAAAATACATTAGATATGGAGTGTGGTTTGTCCCCACATCTATTTTAGTTTCTGCACATCACATGTGTCTTACTTGCACATTTGTATAGTTTGCGAGCTTGTGCAATGTCCCCTTTGCTGAGCCTGGTCCTCTGTCCAATCGGTGGCCTGACTCCATTGACATCATAACGCGGCAAGATTGTGTCTAAGAAGATTCCTCTGTTTCGGACAAAACACAAACGTGAGCAGTTTATTCAACTTAGGATTCAAAAATGAATAAAGGCACAAAAAAAAAGAGACAACACGATCTAGAGCGAGGGACATTTGGTTGGAACAGAAACGGTTTGGAATGCAGTTTTTTTTTTTTTTATCCGACTTCTGTTCAGCACCTTGATACTTTATTGATTCTGATAATCTCTTGCCGGGTTTTGGAGCTCACTCTTGCTCAGTTCCCATGGTGATGCGCCCATGAATGACAGGCATGTGCAAACAGAACGCCCTGAATGGGGCCTTTTGCCGGTGCCAGCCGGCTCAGTGGAGCCCGCTCCTGAATGCCAGTAAAAAAAGGGCACTCCAGCCCAAATTGTTCAACAAAGCCTGAACTGCCAGGCCTTTATTTAGCTTGGCTTGCCTCCATGACCCAGACCAGCAAAGCGGTGATGGAGGTACGAAAAAAAAAGAACAACGAAGCACATAGAGAAGCAACAGGGCAACAACATGCACGAGACAGAAATGAAAAGGAGACTAGTGTGAAACCATTTCTGTGACAATACAGGAGCAAATCCCCGACGTTTCCTATGGAGCTTGTTTGGCCGAGCTGAATAAAGAGACAAACCCCAGGTCAGTGTCGAGGCTCAGCTGATGATGCCGCACGATGCTGATCTTCTATTATCTAAACTCTCTTTTATTGATGTCTTTTCTTATTGATGGATGGACTGATGGATTGATGAATTGATGGATGAATGGTTGGCTGAATGGATTGATGGATGTGTGGATGAATTGATGAATGGATGGAGGATTTGGTGGATGGATGATTGAGTCATTAGGAGTGGTAAATGTCCCTTTTAGAGACGCAGACTGGTCAAATATAAAGGAGTGGACAGAGTGACTCACCAGTGCTCAATGATTTGACTCTTGAGCAAGGCATTCATCCAGTAATCGCCCCAGTGGAGCTGTTAAATGTCCTATGAACGTGAACCAGAGTCGAGCTAAAAATAAAGCGTGAATTCCCACAAGCGAGAAATAAAAGTGATGAAACCCTCGTTCTCCCTTCAGCACCTCATAAAAATGTGAAGGATATTAAAGCCTCATACACCAACCTGGAAAATGTGTTCCTTGCATAATGCATGATGCTGCCAAAGTCGTATACTTCCCCCAGTGAGTCGACCTCGCCCGGTTCCATCTTCAGGAAGTTATACTCCTGTCCTGTTCACACACAGAGAGTCACTGGACAAATCTGAGGGTGAGCACACACGTCCATTCACACGTGTTCACGTCAGTAACAGTACCTGGCTGGATGTTGTCTCTGATGATGCTTACGTGCTCGTCACGGTCCGGACGCGTGTGTTCGTGCCAGAATCCGATCACGTGGCCGAGCTCATGCACCACGATGCCAAACTTATCGCAGTTCTTCCCTATGGAGATGGCCTGAGGGCCGCTGCCTCTCCTCCCCACGTAGGAGCAACACCTGCAGGGGGTGACACTGTTCAGGGCCACATCCTGCAGCACCTAAAGAACTAAAACGGACTTTCTCCACAAAACTAGTGAAAAGACGCAACACAGGAAGAAAGAACTCATTCAAATTTGGTGCACATTCTGACAAAGGGACAAAAAATATTTTGGAGGACTGATATCTATGTGTAATTTGGAGCAGCTAAGGTGACTGTTGGGCCTTGGCAGAGGGATGCGTTCAGTGCCAGAGGGTAGTAGGGTTATCACGTATGGAAAATAGAGGGATGGTTATGAGCTCAGATTTTCAGCCATGCGGAGGCAGTGGAAACAAGAGGTGAACACTGACATAATGTTCTCCATAAAGTTAATTTGATGAAGAGTAACTTATTTTCATGCCCCACACAGATTGAGACAAGTAACTGTAGCTAATTTAATCGGTCTGATATGTGAGAAGGAAACATTTACTGGATCTTTAGAGCTTTTTTTGCAGAAAACAGCTGCTTAAGAGCAGAGAGTGAATCCAAACAGATGTAGGCTGGAAAAACCAAACTAAAACCAGCTAAGATTTGTTCATATGTTCTGTGGAGCTGTGCAGAGTCAGGTAACAATTCTCACTGGATTTTGTGCTTCTACATTTTACTGCCTGAATACAAGAAAGCTGAGTGATTTTCACACTGTAATGATCTTCCATCTCACCCACACGGCCTGTAGGTGAAGACGATGTAGCTCTCCTCAGTCGTCCTCTCAGTGAAGGTTACACAAGTGTGTTTCTCCCAGTGACGCATCGCCTGACGGAAAATGGCTCGCTGACTGCCTGAAAGGAAACTCTGCATTAAGAGTCTGAGAGCTCCAGGGTGTCAAAACCACACATGGCAACAAGCATGATGCAGAAGACTCCTGTAAGAGTTATTGGTTGTTTTACTTCAGAACTCACCACTAAAGTTCCCACTGATCGCATACGGTATGATGCCGTCGGGCCACACTCGCTCTGGTCTGGAGGTGGCCGCTCTCCTCAGACGATGGAGAATCCCGTTTGTCCCTCTTTTACTCCTGATGCTCCCGTCGGAGGTGGAACTGTTGACTGTTACAATGAGAGATCTGCATTGATTAGTGTCTCTCTGAAGAACAAGAGTCGGTGAAAACATTCACAGATGAATAAACTCACTGTAGCTCTGTTACCTGAGTGTGTTCGGTTGGTCTGGAGGCTGTGGGCCTCTCTGAACATGCGGAGGTCATCTTCATCCAGAGCAATGTCTCCCAGAAAGGCAGCTGAGGCAGACAGATGAGCACACAGCAGGAATTCAGTTAAAATAAAGAAACTCCAGAGGAATATCAATAATTTAGTATTGTATGCAAAGTTCCTAATACTGTGACGATGCTTTTCTGCAAAAAAGCTTGACATTATGAGAAATTATCTTATTTGCTCTCTTGCCAAGAGATGGAAGAGAAGATTGATACAGCTCTCATGTTTCTTGAAGCAACAGCCATCTCTGTGTAATTGAATCTGCACCTGAAATGCTCAAATAGTATAATACATTTGAATAAAAATGTCTCCTGGCTGCAGCGTGATATTTATCATGAATTATTGAGCAGTATCGGCAGCACTGCTCATCCAGTTCTTAGAAAGAAGGTGTCATTTCCCAAAATATACAATTCTCAGATGGAAACATTAAACCTAATCTGAACAAGGAAACTCACAGATGACTTTAAGACACTTCACCAGTCATGAGAACCTCAGTTGCTAGTTTTACATCCTCTAACGTGGTGATGATTGAATAATCCCCCCCGCCTCCTAAGGAACTGACATTTGGTTTCCATCATTTAAAACATACAGCTCACATGAATCAAGATCTCATATTGTGCCCGTCAGGCTGAGCAGCTCACTGCGGTCTTTCCTGTTAAATACCTCATTTAGCACTGTGATGTAACAGCCTTTGAATGTACAAATGAAAAGACATAGCAGGCCCTGTGTCGGCCTTTGAAGTGAATTCACTCATGCAAAGGGTGACTGTAAATGACTGTCACCCCTGCAGTGTGCACCCCATGCCCTGAAGCCAAAGGGATTTCACCGGCGTCCAGCCAAGAACGGCCCTGGCACGGCCTCAATGACCCCCAGTCTCCAGGCAACTGCCTCAGTGAAGGAGAACGGTGTGTTTTCTGGAGTTTCACAAGTTACAAGTGGGAAAAAGGAACCCGGAGCAGCTGGAGGCCCCCTGATAACCAGCGTTACTGTTTCATGTGTTTGATGATGGAAATTAGAAATGTACTTTCCTTTTTTCACAAGAGGAAGCGCGTTATAAAGGCAGTAGATTCAGAGACACTTTGTACAATTTAAATCTTATTCATGATTTAAATATCATCAGTATCTTTCCATCTGCATATACATTATCAATATAATGTTTAATTAATATATTCATGTGGTTTACTGACAGGCCTTGCTTTAAAAATATTTGAACGTATAAAATCCCTAATGAACAGGTTGAGGTACTTGTACAAGATGTACTAGTAAAGAAAAGTAGAATGCACTTCAGCAATATTAATGTACTAGTATGTATGTAATAATTGCTGCTGTACATCTTATGAAGTCAATGTAATAAGCACAGTAACATGTACAGTATTTTTATGATAGTGTTTTACGGTGCAGTATTGCCTCTACATGCTTAAAATGTGAAAATCACTTGAGTGTAGTTGAACAGAGATGATTGGTCCCAACCAAGGCTTCACTTGTTTGACTTATTAAACCAAGATTAAGGAGATTTGCATTGAAACAATTAAACATTAATGAGGAAAATATATATATTTTTTAGTAATAGATCTCAGACACGTTTTTCCTGGAGTAAGTCATGACAACACAACGTCATGATCAATGTGAACTGATGACTGACTGTTGTGTTGGCAGCTTTGTGCTGCTGATGGGTGAAAATATTAATTACACTTTACATTTCTAACAAACTAAATTCAGTAGGTTTTTAATGCTCATTCACCTCAATAAAACCATTAATGCAGAACTTTTTCTTCTCGAATGAGGTGTTTTTTTATTGGTTTGTTACTTTGACTAGAGAAAAAGATCTTATATTTTTATTGTAACAACTACTCATCGATTCATTGTGACAGTTAATAATCAATATAAAATAAAATAGGGAGGTTATGTTTGCATGTAGGCTAAATATTTGTATTTAAGATACATTTGCATAATTAAGACATCCATTTAGAAAAAAATATCACTAATAATAAACCACTAAACAGAGCTGAGGAGTTAAATTGCACTCTACCAGCTTTGCAGGGATCCTTGTAATCGATTGCATCACTGAGGTCCGTAAAATTAGTTTCCAACTCCCAGTCAGCGTCCAGAGAATCACACATGGAGCAGAGCAGGAGCAGAAGAGTCGCAGCTCCCACTGACATGACTTCTGCTCTAAAGTCCACTCGCAGTCTACAAGTAAATAAAGAGCGTCCCCAGTAAACAGATGAAGAGAAGAGCGAAGAGAATAAAGTCACCCGGTGTAAAAACACGGCGCCATGCTGCTGCAGGGAGAGAGAGAGAGAGAGAGAGCGAGAGAGAGAGAGAGAGAGCGAGAGAGAGAGAGCTCACACACTGCAGAACACACACACACACACACACATCATGCAGCTGAGAGGTGCTTCACCTGCAGACACACCCGTCACGCACGTCTCACACACTCACCTAATAAATGCAGGTACTGACTAATGATTAGTGGAGCTGACACACAAAGTTCAGCCTGAGCCAAACATTTAATTTATAAATAACAATTAAAAAGCAAAGAGGATTCACTTACTGCATATGAGGGGTGAGACACTCTCCTTCAGCTTGGTCCCACAAGCTCATGCATGGAGGCCGTATTTGAATTAAAACAAAACTGCTGCATCTTGTTTGCTAAAAAAAAACCTTGTACCCCTTTGGTGCTTCTTCACTGATAAGATTCAGTCTCCTTTGTGAACCGCTTTGTTTACTGACACGTGATAAGTTTAGTGCAATGTCCAATTACTGTCACTCTGTCTACAACAGTTTGATGCAGTACTGCACTTCTAATTACAAGTACAACACCGTGACCATCTGAATGCAATACACACGCTTATTATCTTGTTGCAAGTTGAACATGAAGATCAATAGGCTTCTCTAATATTTCAAATATGAGGATACCACTTCCAGGCAGCGAGCTTATCATAAAGACTGGAAGCAGATGGAAACACTTAACCTATCTATGTCTGTCAGCACCTCTGAGGCTCGTTAATGAACAAGTTAACATCTCATTTATTTAGCTCTCACCTAACTTTTAAAAAAATAATTGCATGTCCTAAAATGTCAAACACTCTGAACTGATAATGATGCAGCACATGTGGCCCAACATTAGCTTTGTATGTTGGGCCTTGTGCTCTTTGCTTGTTTTTCAGCATGTTCCCACAGCTTTCACGCTTCTGCTTTTGTTTCTTCACATGCACTTTGCCTCTTTTCAAACCATTCAGACCCACTGAGAAGAGAAAGTTCAGGATGTGTTAGTGACGTTGACTCGGGGGAGAAAGCAGCTCCCTCTCCAGCTCGCTCTATAAACAGGAAACCCAGAACGACTCTAACGCTGCAGCAGCTACGCAACACATAGAATCTGGCAAATGAAACCACAAAAGCTGTCGTCTTTAAATACACACAGACACTTATTGGTGAGGAGCAGCAGCTGGTGATGAGACCCTGGTGTGAAAAACAAGAGGGCAGACAGAGGACACCTGGTGGACAGGTGAGGGAGTGGAGACACAGGCTGGGAAACAAGAGGGATGATGAGAAACAGAGGGAGGCTGCTTAAAAAAAACTGGAGCATTTGTTTTCAATTTTCAGATTTCATTTATGTAAATGTGACATGGCAGGAAAAATACGACAGCTTAGCAAGTCTTAGCTGTGAATCCTGAACTGTGTCATAACAGACAAAAAATTAATATTTAATCAAAAAACCAAACCTTATACAAGTAATCATAATAATGATAAGATAAAATATAAAAAAGAGAGTTTTGAATTTATGTTTTTGTATTAAAGGTTCAGCACAGTTTCAGTATATCTCAGTCATTTTATTAAAAGATACATTTACATACTTAATTCTGTGGCTCAGGGGGTGAAGTGGGTTGTGCACTGACCAAAGGGTTGGCGGTCCAATCCAAGTGTTCAAAGTGTCTTGGGTAAGATACTGAATTCCTAATTGCCAATGACAGCTGTGCTGCACGCACTTTGTGAATGTGTGTGAATGGGTGAAAACTTTTCTGTGAAGATTAGAAAAACACTAAATAAATACAGAGCATTTCCATATTTGAGTGAAGACAAACTGAACAGTTAAATGTTGCAGGGACTTCAGATGCATTTGTTTACCACTAAGTGGCACTGAAGGATAAGGTGGAGAACCGAGCAAACCTGCAGGGAAAGTCAAAGAATAAATCATTCAGAAAGTTGAACAAGAACAAAGGCATGAAGGAAAGTCCAGGTTCCTTCATACCTACACATGAAGGAAACAGTAAATCACATACTGAGTTGTGTGTGGTTGTGTGAACTCTATGGCTCAGTTTGCTGGAATGATTGAGTGTGAGAGAGAGGGAGCAGAGGACTTCCCTCCTTCTCTGCCCGCACACATCTGCAGCCCAGGAGATGGGACGCTGATCCACAGAGGAACACTTCATGCCTCGGAGATCAGTCCTCACAGAATGGCTCGCTGCGTCACAGTGTGCTGAGGGACAAGTTGAAAGGAAAACTCCATCTGGAGACTATTGATGGTTTGCCTGCTCTGTCTTTGAGCTGATGCTGTCTCTGAAGTTTGGACTGATGACCCAGTGCCGGTGCAGGCAGGTCCTGCTCGGGCTGGAGCTGGGCCTGCTGATGGCGGTCTTGGTGGTCGGCACTGCAGGACAGACCCAAGACAGGAGGGAGGCAGGGTCATCCTGCTATGGAGGGTTTGACCTCTACTTTGTTTTGGACAAGTGAGTGATTCAGTTTTCTTCTCCATCACAGGGGAACGTTTACAATGCTTGATGCATGACTCATCTGAGAGACTGAGATTACTTTTCTAAACAAAGACACAGGTGCAAACATCATTTATATTCTCCAGAGGCAATAATGGGAAACCACACACGACTGTGCCACTACACTGTAAAAGCAGATTTTATTACTCATTGTTAACAAGTATTTGTCTCTCTGATGTTAATAATGTGGTGCAAATGGAAAATAGGGCAGGTTTGTCGTCTCTGTAGACAGAATCATATGTGAGTGTCATAACTGTTTCAAACAAAGCTCAGGTCCAGCTCGTCCAGCTGTCACAGATGGGAGTTGAATGTATTTATTTTGCAGTGTAGTTTCTGTGTAAAGGGTCTTGAAGAGGTTTTGCTAAAGTTTAACTTCAGAAATATCTTTAGATTCTTTGTGTTTGAGTAAGCCATGCATTTCTTCCACAATATTTCAAAGCCCCATCATTTTTTCAATGTGTGTGCAAAGAATTAAATAGCGTTGCAATTGTCAGGAAGAAATATTCTGCAACAAACTACTGTTGCTGATGTTTTTCTAGGTTGATTGATCAGTGTTTTGGAGCTACTGTGTAAAATGTCAGAAAACAGAAAAAAATGTCAGCTAGAGTTTCCCAGATTCTTACTGTGCATTGTTTCGTCTGATCAACAGTTTCAAACCCAGAAGACATTTAGTTTCCAACGATATAAAACAGGAACGCAGCAGCTGTAGAGAAGCTGGAATCAGAGAATGGTTTTACTTTCCCCTTTAAAAGCCCTGAAACAAATGATTGATCATCACAAAAGTTGCCAATTAGTTTTTACTGTTTGCAGAACTGTGTCGTTTTATTTAATAAACACAGAAGCACATTCTGTTATTTTTAGAGACTTGAATGCGTTGACATAAGGGTTAGATTACATCTTCTACACATCTGTCTTGAAGCTAATGTGAAACTCCCGAACGGTTCAGATCAACGCATGTGTGAGGTGTTGTTTTGTTGATGCCATCATACAGTCACATTTTCCTGGATGAAAATATGGAGATTTGTAAACTCCTCACACTAGATCCATTCATGCATTTCTGAAATATACACTGCAGCAGTGATAGTTGATTTTTTCAATCAAGATTTGACAGAATATGTTGCCATAATGAAAATGGAGTGTGTGCAGTCGCTCTGATGATAAATCAGATAAATCAATGCACTGCATGGGATTGCTGTTGTCAAACTGTGGCCATGCTTCGCAGAGTGGAGCAGCCCACATCTAGTCGCTGCAGCTTCAGCTCCCTGCGCCTCAGTCTGCAGAACCCTTTCTCCATCAGAGCCAGATGTTCCAGAGATCCCAAGTTTTCTGTCTGTCTCTGCACTGGCACTCACATCTCAGGATAAATGAGAACAGAAGCGAGGGAGGAGAAGAGAAGCAGAGTGTAGCACGAGGGAGGCCGTGGAGTTTATGTGTCCAATCACAGACCTACTTTTAAACTCTTTCTTCTGCTGATCTGTTTTGCTGAGTCTGCACCTGTTGCAAAACCAGGACCCGATACGATGCTAAGCTCAGACGACAGAGTGATGTGGCACTGCAGTCACTGTTTTCTGTTAAAAGACAAATGTTAAATGTTGGAAATATTAAGCATCAGCATTCAAAAGAAATAATCACTGATGTTTTATGTGATGTTGCACTGTGATGAAAACACAGATGAGCTCATACAAGATGCTCAGAGTTAAAACAAAAATGTTAAACCATGAACTCCTGGTGTCTTTACCAACAACTTTAGGTCAGCAGGCTAAATGTGCAGAACTTTAGTTAGACTTCAATATCTTGGTTTGTGTTGTATCATGTTGAAATTGATTGATAAATTATAACTTTACACAGATACATGCAACTGTTTATCTTTCAGCAGAGGAATTGCTGCAGGAATGAATAAAAACACTTGAAGAATATTGCAAAGTCTCAGGATATAAACTAAATGAGAACAAATGTGAGGAGACAATCAAGTCAGCCAAAGTTTAGTAAAAACAAACAAACTTGGTTATCGATATCAGTAAGAATGTAAATGAAGTGTATGAGAATAATAACTGTGTTTTGGAAAGTCAGACAGGATTTCAACAGATGAGATTAATTCCAGATGTGGAGAACACAGTGCAGTGGTAACTCAGCTGATCAGAGAGACATGAGAAGATAAATGGGAGCTGGCGGGACCGTGGCCTGACCTCATCAATATGACTCCATGTCCCTGGAGCGAGGACGTGTCCCAAGTAACAACACGGAGCTCATCATGGATTACTATGATCACTTTAATCTGAGGTTCACTTCTGGCTCAGGCACATCTGACTGGCACCGACTGGGGTAAAGGATCATCACTGGAATCACCATCTCACCTTCTGACCCCGGCCATGAACATCAGCCGAGGTGGAGTTTAGAGGCCCGATAATCAATGTCTGGGCTCTGGCTGTCCTCCATCATTATAGACGACCTGACAACAACATCAGTTCAAGCAGATGGATCCTCGAGGACTTGGATGTTAAGAACGGCTTTCGAGTGGCAGAACAGAGAACAGACACAAATTACAGGCAGATTTATTACAACAAGGACTACAGCACAAAAAATGTGCTGACTATGGTAACTCTGACAAAGTTTCCTGCTGAGGAGGAAATCCAAAGAGTCCACGTCCAAACAAAACTCAGTCCTGAGTCTAGAGACGAACAGAGTCCAGGTGTAAGTGAGGCTGAAGAGGCAAACAAGTGAACAACCAAAGGAGGAGGAGAGAACAGGCTGCAGTGGACCAGGTGGATCTTCAGCATTTGGCTGCAAAGGTTCAAGAAGCCTTCCGACAACTCACTGCAACAAAGATACAAGAGAGGAGGAACGGGTCCAGAACGAAGTGAGAGCTGATGTTGAGGAGCTTAATGCAAGCCAGACAGCTGGGATTTGGCAACATGGTGCATGGAAAAAGATAGTAACAGTTGATGGATCTCATTGATGAATTGGTCCAGGTTTTGGAAGAGTGAACCTTTCACATGACACTTCTGGTTCAGTTTCTCTGCGGTGTTTGCTCGGCTCAGCTCCTCCCCTCTTCTGTTGGGGTAAGATCGAAGCACCAACCTGTCCCTTGAGCCAAAAGAAGAAGCACCATTGACCAAATCAAACATCTCAGACCAACAGAATCACATTTGTTAGAGATCTAAATCCACAACTAAACCCAAGCAGGACAACTTGACCAGCACGAGGGTGAAGAAAGCAAATCAGGAGATTCAAACTGTGGGCTAATGTCTCTTGGATGGGTCACCTGGGTTTGGATGTCTGAAGCCTAAAGATCCAAAACACCCAATGACCTAAAGTACGCTCCCTGATGATATTTGTAAGAAAACTGTTAATGTACAAATTGTATGGGTCCTAAAGGACTTATCTCGAAGAACGTAAAGAAACTGAAATAAAGTATTGAACAAACACAAACCAAAACACATGTTGATGTGGTCATGAAAAACAAATGACTTCAAACAACCTAGACATTGGAGGACATACCGGACTGAGTTTAATTCACAATCTTTTCATCAAACATCAACATCACTAATTTTTATTCCCTTGAATGTTCTTCTCAGGTCTGGCAGCGTCCAGCAT